CCCCCTCCACTGTGGAGATCCCCAGCTCCTATGAGCCGGGGAGGGAGCCAGCCAGCCGGAAGGCAGAATGTAGATCCCCCTCCCCCTCCCCGCCACCACCTTTTCTAGAAAGCTCTCCTGTTCCCTCTCCTGATCTCAGGGGAAGGGGACAGCATGTTTTATCTCCCCGCTACCAAGACCCTCACCTCCAGATAAAGGGCTCCAAGTCGGGGGAGGTCCCGAAAAGCTGCTGGCAGCTGATAACAGTCTTCACAGCCAGCAGCCTCCGGGAGGGGGTGCCCGGGGAGGTCTGCCGCTGATTACAACACAGCGGTCCCCAGGAGGCCTCTGGCCTGGAAGCCCAGCCTGCCGGCCCCTCCTCCCACTCCGTCTCTGCTTCCTCAGGAGCCTGTGGAGCTTCTGGGTTCCTTGGTCTTCCCTCGCAGGCGGGAGCAGAGGTGCTTTGTCACATGCCCTGGTCCTGTCACCTCTTGCTGTAATTCTCAGGACACTGGGGTGGCCCCTGTGGGGGCAGGGTGGGGGCTCCTCCCAGGGAGCCCCCCTCCTTGTCAGGGCAGTAGTCCTGGGGACCGCCAGACTTGGACATGTGGGGCTGGCCGGCCATGGGAGCGGGAGTGAGAGTGAGGGTGGAGAGGTGGGAAAAGCACTCTCCCTTACCAGACATGCCCACCAGCCCTCCTGCAGAGACCAGGTCCCCATGGGCCCCAGGCCACCAGGGCTGCCTTGTGCACTGGGGGACCTCTGCCTTGGGAGGTCTCGGGCTCGGCCCCAAGGGGCCACCGTGCAGACTGGCCCCTGTTTAGGTGGAAGGAGGGTGCCCAGAGAGGCTGAGTGACTTGTCCAAGGTCACTTCTCGAAGCCCTGTGCCACCTCCATCCTGGTTCCTCGGCTTCCTGAGAGGCTCAGGGGAGCAGCCAGGGCCTGTGCTGAGTTCTAAAACCTTCCCGACTGCCCTGCCTGGTTCTAACCCCACCATCCCCATCCCCCAGCCATGTCGGTTTGTCACAAGCAGGAGAAGCCTGTTGGCCCGGCCAGTACTGCCAGTTCACAGTCCTGGTGGCCCCCAGGCCCCTGGCTCATTCTTCCCAGACTGGTGTTCAACCAGCCCCCCTCGGCCCATCCCTAAACCCAGGCTTGGTGGTGGGATGAGCTCTGTGAGCCGGGTTTCATGGGCCTCTGCAGAGCCCAGGCCCCTAGGCAGAGGACATGGGGGGTCCGCTTCCTCTCCACTCACCACTGTGCGTGGAGACAGTTGCCACAATCCAGAGCCTGTGCAGCTCTTACTGGACGTTGTCCAAGCAGGCCAGCCTGCAGTGTGCGTGGGAACACACCACTCTCTAGCAGTCTCTTCCCATCTCTCGTTCCAAAGGAGTCCTGGTGGTGCACTGTTTAAAGCACCCCACTGTCAGCAGTGAGGTCAGCGCTTCAAGCCCACCAGTTGGAGCAGAGTGTGGCCATCTGCTCCCAAAAGATGGGAGCCCTCTGAGCAGCTCTGCTCAGCCCGTGGCTTCTCTGAACTTTGGTTAACGTGGCAATGGCGAGTGGGGTGGGGTTGATCTCAGTGGTTTGGGTTGTCTGCCGATAGTTTACAGTGGGAGTTGTTGCTCTGCATACCGCTGCTGATCAGAAAGTTGAAGGTTTAAGCCCAGCTAGGGGTGTCCCAGAAGAAAGGCCCCGCAGGTGACTCTGGAGATCACGCCGCTGGCTACCCACCCTGACACACACAGGTCCCCAGGACTCAGAGCTGGGGCACCCCTTCCCCCACTGGGCTCCAGGGGTGGGAAGCCAGGGAGTGGGCAGATGGGCAGGGACGGCATTGCCTCTGAAGGTCAAGGCCCCCTTTGCATTGGTGTGCTCACCGGGGCGGGTCTTGGCCGCTGTGTGGGGCACCATGGCCGCCCCTCTTGCCCCAGGAGCTGGGAAGGAGAGGAGCCTTTGTGCAGACAGTCCCTTTGTGTCCTGGGATGGGAGTCTGCAGCCGTGCGTCTGAGGTTCTGGAGAGCCTGTTAGCCACACAGCCATCCCCAGGGCTTTTCAGAGAAGGCCGAGCAGCTGGCGTGGGGCGCACACACACCAGACTGGTGTCGGGAAGGTCAGGGCCGGCTTCAGGGTTGGGTGGAGGGGGGATTTCATCAGTGAGCAGCCCTCTGGCTGTGCGGACGTGGAGGTGTGGAGGACGAACGGCTAGTGTGTCGGAGTGCCTGGGAAGAAAAGTCCGGCCATCAGATGCAGCCCCCGCAGTGCAGAGGTGCTCTGGCACATTCTCACTGTCTTCAGGTCCAGGGGCTCTGCTGGCCGGGCACGTAGGATTTTGCTCATGGACAGAGGTGAGCAGCTGCCAAAATGAGGCTGAGGGCCCGGAGAAGGCTGACTCTGCTCTGAAGAGTCTCAGAGCCACGGTTCAGGGGCCTTGTCTGCTTTGGGGGGTGGTGTCCTGTAATTTAGAGACTCACGGCGGTAGAACCCCCCCCCACACCCTGAAGGAGCTGCCTTTGAGGCCGATGGTCACCTCTGTGAGGAGCAGGCTCCAGAGCGAGTGTGTGGGGAAATGCTATCCTCTCACACCATTGGAAGCCCCCTCTTCGCGCTGCCGCAGAAGGAGCCGTCCTGGGCCCTCTGCTGTTCCGACACCCTTCAGCAAGAGTGAGCTTTTAATTGCCAACTGGATGTCATTTAATGGGGTTATTATTGGGGGGGGCCTAGTACCAGCAGGTGAGACCCCAGCAGAGGAAGAGGCAGAGGGCTCTTCTGCGAAGGAAGAGGAGGAGGAGGAAGAGGAAGAGGAGAGCCTTCCAGGTTGCACCCTGTTCATCAAAAACCTCAACTTCAACACGACAGAGACGACCCTGAAGGAGGTGAGTGCCTGGCCCCCAGAGGAGGGGGACCCTGTGTGCACGGCTATGTGGCTGCCTCAGTACACATGGCCCAGGATGGCTCGACACCTTGGCCAGTTAAATGGAAGCCCACAGCTGCCACCTCTCAGGGACGGGGATACTTCATACACCCGTGGGGGCGGGTCAGCAGGTCTCGGGGCACATGGAATCTGGCCTACGTCATTGTCAGTGTTAGGGGCCTGTGGTCACACGTCAAGGGCCCATAAGGCCACCTCAGTACTCCTTTGGGTACAGGTGGGAGTCAGGGCAGTTGGGGCTGGAGGCCCAGGTGAGACCACTGAGGGCAGAGGGAGGAAGGATGGGAACATGGAGTGGAGAGGACAGAGTGCTGTCAGAAGACTGTAGAAAGAATCAAGCCTCCAGTTCTGGCTCCCAGCATTTGCAGTCGGGGTCCATGGGCATAGAAGATGGGGGTCTACACCACCCTACTGGACCAGGGAGGCCCTTCACCTCACAAAGATTACCCTTTGTGTTGAGGGACACCGAGTGAGTGGGGAATGAGGTGGGGAGTGGACAGGCAGCATCGGGTTGACAGCCAGGAGCAGGTCCTAGGGAGAAAGATCGCCCAGAGGCTTCCCCTCTGAAGGTCTGGGGTTGGGCTTAGTGGAACAAAGATGGTGTCCCCTAAGCCCTGGCATCAGGGTCAAGCTGGCCTTGTGGGAACTTGCAGGGCTGAGCAGGTTTCTGAGAGCAGGCTGTCATCTGGCCTTTAAATGGGGACCCCAAGAGGGCAAATTTGGGGGCCTAGGGGTCTTATCAAGGAGTCCCAACTGCTCGGCTGTGAATGGACAGGCCAGCGGTTTGAACCCACCCACAACTCCATGGGAGAAGCTTGAGGCTGTCTGCTTCGTAGATTTACGGCCCTGGACCGTGGGAGGCCATGTCCTCTGCTGGGGCCTCTGAGATCAGAGTGAGAGCGGGCTCCCTGGCAAGACCTCTAGAGGTGCCATCAGGGCCCTCACCCAGGTGCTGGCTAAAGGCCTGGGTTTGCTTCCTTGCCCTTCCAGCTTCTGTGCCCCTCTGAGCCTCGACTTTCCCATCTGAGAAGTGCAGCCGTGCAGACTGCGTGAGGCAGTGCAGTGCCCAGCCTCGTCCCCTGCTCCAGCTTGGACCCTCAGCCCGGCAGCACTACTGATAGCCGCTGGCTTTCTTTTGCAGGTGTTCTCCAAGATGGGCGTGGTGAAGAGCTGCTCGGTGTCCCGGAAGAAGGACAAAGCAGGTAGGGCCTCCCTCAGAGAGCTGAGCCACACAGAACCCTTCACAGGGCGAGGGAGCACTCATTTGTCTGTTCTTGTTGTCACCCACAAGGAGCTAGGATGCAGGAAGGCCCCACCCACCCAGCCCTACTCCTGCCCTTGCAGGTCAGGGGGAGTGCATGCGCTCTGACTGTACAACCCCTCCTCCAATCATCCCCGCTGCTGAGCCTGTTAAAGGTGTGGCATCCACACCCCGACACTCCCCCTGGCTTGTCCTCGGGTTCCCCGAGGCCCTGGACTGTGGCAGACAAGCATCCGGGAGGGCCAACAGGGGGACACTACCCAGGAAGGACCGATCGAGCTTGTCCTTGTCCCTCCCAAGGGAAGCAGGCATATGGCTGGGAGCCAGACTGTCCCTGGCGGCTCCACCTGGCTCCGGCTACCAGCTTGGGCCTCTGCCCTGGGTTCCTGAAGATGCGGGCACCATGCTTTCTCCTGGCCCCCTGCCCTACCCCCTCCAGCTGTCAGCCCTCCCTGTGGCCTGGCCTCCAGCCAGGTGGTTGCACAGCACTGGTGCCTGGCCCACACGACCCCCTGCTGTGGAGGCAGGCGCACTGGGCATCAACGGGAGCAGACTGCCACAGCTCTCTGGGAAGCAGCTTGGGGGTCTAGACTGCTGTCTTCATGACCGGCTGAGCGCTTGACCACTGGGCCACCAAGGCTTCAGTGCTAAGTGGGACAGTGCCAAGGGGGTCAGAGGGCCCCTGTGGGGCGGGACCATGCAGGGCAGTGGAAGGGTGGGTGGGAGGCAAGGACAAGAAAGGGTTGCAGGGACCTCGAGGGGCTAATGGGGACACGTGGTGTGGGATTAGGGGCTTTTTTCTCTAGGAAAAACCCCTGGTGGTACATGGATTGCACTCAGCTACCAACCAGTAGGTTGGCAGTTCCAGGTCACCCAGGGGTGCCTCCGAGGAAAGAGCTGGCGATCGCTACCTAGAAAACCCTGCAGAAAAGCTCCGCTTTACACCGCAGTGGGCCAATCCAAAGGCAGCATGTTTGCTTTTGTTCTGGCTCTGGAGGGGCAGGAGCCATGCTTTGGGTGGGGGGGTCAAGAGGGGGTGGTCCCAGGGTCTAGGGGTAAGCTGGGCTGCACAGAGCTGGAACTCCAACTAGTGGTCCACCCTTGCTGGCTGGAAGGTCTCTCTGGGCCTTCAGGTGCCCGGGAGGGAGCCTGGGGTCCTTCAGGCACACACCTGGTGCTGAGGGATCCTATGGGAGAGCCCGGCCCAGGGTTCAACAGCCAGCCCCCTGCAGCGGCAGCTGCCCACTGAGGCCCCACGGGTGCAGAGAGAAGCCCTGTGCAGCACTGAGCCCCAGAGCTAGTGGCTTGGGAGGCAGGGAGGGCTGAAGCCCCAGGTGCAGCTGCCGAGGCAGAAGCACGCCCAGGGGAGAGGCTAGCAGGGTGGAAGGATGCATGCTATCCAGCCTCCTGCACCCGCAGGCTCAGGTACCAGCTTCCCTCTGGCTGAGCCCCCAGGTGTAGAGGGGCTGGGCTCCATCTCCTGCCGTCGTAGCACACTTTCCCCGTCAGACCCAGGAGCCAGCCCCATCAGCCTCCACTGAGGTCGGTCTTGTGTCGGCCGAGGAACAAACCCTCAAGTCTCCACAGGGTGGCGCTGTGGGTCCCTCCAGGCCGTTGGAACTATGTTGGGCAGTTCTCAGCATCTCCGGATTTGGCCCTGGCTTTCTAATCCAAGGTTGTGGGGGAGGTGGGGGTGCACAGGAGCACTCAGGAACTGCCCACCTAGGGGTTTTGCTGCTTGTCGCAGTAGTTTGCAGTGGTCAGCCCTTGGTCCCCTGCCCTCCCAGATGCAGGATTCCATCATGAAGTTAATTATCATGTCACTCATGTGTTAATTACCAGTATGCGGGCCTCAGGTGCTGCTGGGGAACCTGGGGACTGCTGCTTTGTGATGACAAAGATAAAAGGGCAGCCAGGAAGGAGCCCATCATGGGGGTGGGGGTGGGGGGCCCAGGGTGCATCTCCACCTGCTCACAGCCAGCCCTCTTCCATCTCTCCTCCAGGAGCACTGCTGTCCATGGGGTTTGGCTTTGTGGAGTACCGGAAGCCAGAGCAGGCCCAGAAAGCCCTTCGGCAGCTCCAGGTACCACAGGTGCCCCACGCCCAGGGTGGGCTTCCCACCAGCGTCCTAGTAAAACCAGAAGGAAGACCCTCCCTGCACACCCTCTCAGCACTGTAGCTCACTCATTCTGTCCAAGATGACCCAGTCCAGCAGGCCACTGGGTGAACTCAAGACAGGCAGCAAGCATGTTATTAGCACAGTGGGTTGAAATCACCAGCGACTCCATGGGAGGAAGAGGAGGCTGCCTGCTCCCGTAAAGAGAGACAGCCTCAGAAACCCACAGGGGCAGTTCTACCCCGTCCTATAGGGTCACTGAGAGTCGCCACCCACTGGAGGCAGTGAGCATGGTTGTGAATTATGTTCACTATTCGGAGCCGAAACTCCCTACCAGGGGGTGCAGGCTCTAGTGCCCCCAGGGGTCAGGGGACCGTGTGGAACAGGGGGCCAGCCCACCTGAACCAGAGCAACACCACTTGTCCCATCCCGTCCGATGGGGCCTTGTGGGAAAACAGGCCCCAAAGATTACCCCTGGTTTTTTGTTGTATTCTAATTTATGTTGCCTATTACTGGTTAAGAGAGACTAAGAGTTTATCTTCCAGGGGAACTGGTCACATTTGTTGGCCTCTGTCTGTCTGTCTCTCTCATATGCTGCCCCCAAATACAAAAGCCTAAACTAAACCCAACTGCCATCCAGTCAGCCGATGCTGACTCATAGTGATCCCACAGGACCGCTGTGAGTTTCTGAGACAGTAACTCGACGGCAGTAGAAACCCCTGCTGGTGGTTTCAAACTGTGGACCTTGCAGTTAGCAGCCCAACGCAGATGCCAGCTCCTATGAAATTCCATCCTGGGCCCTTGGCGATCGGCAGTGTGTTTTGTGAAGCTGTGAGGGATTTCTGGGGGCAATTGTGCTACCACGCCGAGAACGGCCTTCCGGGACCAACCCAGGAGCCCAGGTCTCCTGGCAACCCGACTGCTGTGGCGAGTTTATTTTTAAGAAGCATCCCAACATAACCAAGCTCATCGTCCACCAGCCAGGCTGCTGCGGCTTCCTGAGCCTGCAGACATCACCAGCTGGTGGAGGATTGTAGCCTCCTGAGCAGTCTGAAGGTCGGGGCCCCATAAGCTGCTGGAGCAGAGTGGAGGGCTGGTGCTCCCTGGCCACAGCTGCGACCCAGTGGCTCTCAGCAGAGCTGACCCCTGTGCTCGGTCCAGCTGGGAACAGCCCGTGCGCCCGCCCCTCTGCGCGACTTCACTCCGATGAAGGTCGAGGACATGGGTGAGTGTTCCAGGACAGTGGGAGGGACGAGCGTGTCCTCTCTCCATCCACAGGGTCTCGTCGTGGACAGCCATAAGCTGGAAGTGCGGATTTCAGAGCGAGCCCTCAAGTGAGTCCCTAGTACCCAGTGTGTCTTCCCTGACCCTCTGCACCCCTCCTACCCTCCCCCACCCCACCCCCATAGTCTGCTCTGGCACTCAGCACCTGAGGCGTGTCCTCACGGAGGGGACCTCACATATGCCTGATGGGCAGGCAGGGACAGGCCTTGGGTGCGAACGTTTTGATGCCCATGCGGTAAATGAACAAAAGCAGAAGGAACCGTCAGATGGGGTTCCTCTTGGCGGCACAAAGAAGCCAAGGCTAAGCCCCAGGCTGCCGGACTCGGGCTCTAGGGAGCTGCACAGGGGGCCCCAAGACGGCCTCCAGCGAGAGAGAGAGAGAGAGAGAGAGAGAGAGAGAGAGAG